ATGTCCCGAATCAGATGCAGACCAACCAAATGCTGAGCCTTTAGTCCCGGCTTTGATCGTCCGCTTCGGATGTTTGAGATATGGATCTGTTGTGACAACAATGCGCTCAAACTCATCGATATTCGTACCACTTGTCCGCCGCCCTCAAGAGTGCTGCCATCGATTTCTAACATGTCTTTCAACAGTCGGTTCCGAAGACAACTTATTGAAGACAAATATTTTATTCAAAACATGAAACAAATGCTTAAAAGTGATATTGGATTGAGTTTTGGTGACAAAAGAGGGAAACACTCTTTCATTGAATCGATTCTCTTGGAAACGGAATCTAATTCTTGATTCTTTCGATCAATGGATCCAAAAATAGCCACCGATTAAAACCACAAATGACTCACTCACTACTGGTTGTCATTATTGAGTTACACATGTTTTGTGGACACAATTAATGGCATATCTCTTGAATTAACATTCAATACAATATTCTTTAAGACTTCAAGAATTTGAGATCATTTGAAGGAAGTTATCATTAAATGAATAGTAAAGCAATAAATCGTTTCATTCAATCATAGCTTTTATTCAAGAATTGTAGTCAAAAAATATCATTCAATTATTACATTATTCAGTTATTTTCAAATTCAGTACAAATTCTGTAATCAATTGGAGTTTACATTACATACGAAAAAGTAAAACAATTCTTCATTTCATTCAATCAATTCTTACAATCTATTCATTCAATGAATAGTTTTTAGACTCGTTTTGTTTTTGTATACAAATTGTTGCGTGAATTTTCAATTAATTCACAAATGCTTGAAAACAATTTACATATTTATGATAACATTATCTCAATCTTTAGACAAATCAGATGAAAGTTTCATATATAAAGTGAATAATTTGTATTTTAATGATTTTTTGTATATGATTTTAACATTAGATTTATTTTTGTTTGGTTTGTACTAATTATTCATAGATTTTCCATATATTTGTTGTGTATATTTATATAACATTTGGATAGAATTTTAATTTAATTTCCATTTGAATGTAATGTTAGGTGCGGTTGAATTGCAATCAATAATTCATTCAATTTCTTATACAATACAAAATTATGTTCTTATATAACATGTGTTATGTTTGGTGATGTTTTTATATATATATTTCTCTTAATATTCTTCATAAAAGTTTATATAATAATAGATTTATTGATTCAAAGACAACATAAGTACCCAATTATAGAAAATCTTTTATATATATATCTGGTATTTAAATCAACATTTGATATATTTTTTTATATCTCTTTTAGGATTTTTCCCGTAAACTTCTAATTCACGAAATAATTAGATTTAGGGATTAAATGGCAATCAATTACTCGTATTCTTATAGATATTATGGTTTTTCCAAACATTCTTCTCAATTGTATGTTTGTTTTGTCGAATATATTCTTATATACAAAATGTTTTCAAATGAATTCAATGGGTTTTTATGGCACAGAATGTATGACACGAGTGACAGTTGAGGAGGAAATAACACAAAATGTAAAAATGTGGACAAAAACAATGGATAGTCAGAGATAAGAGAACTGCTGTACAAAAAAGTATTGAGGTTTTGAGAAAAGATGACATATTTTTGTGAGTTGTTTTTGGATTCAATTCAAAATTTTGAGAATCTTTTTACATAAAAGTTTAAATAATTACAAAAAATTACAAAAAGACAACAAAACTTAAAATAATGAAATACAAAAAAATATAATAATAATGAAAAGGGATTACAATTTAAAAATCCTAACGACTTATCACTGTTTAAACATTCAACTCATACGATAGGCACGAATTTTTATCAATATTTTTAAATGTTTTTGTAATTTTTTATCATTTTTATAATTATTTTTTTTGTGTTTTTGTGGATATATTTTTTAAATCTTAAATAATTTTTAGAAAAATTATAGAAATTTAGTGTTAATTATAGAGAGAAAAAAAGGTAAAAGAATTATCAGAAAAATAACAAAGAATTTGTTAAATTAGTTCAGAATTTAAATAACAAATAAAAAGATTAGACAATAAAGTGTATCGAAAATGTTTGCCTAAATTTAGTGATTGTTTTTTATGTGTGATATTAATTGAAAAGAAATTAAAGACTAGGAATTAAGGATTAAAGCGTGTATTTTTTAGAAGAGTTGCACTTTTAAGCCATTATAATATATATAGAAATAAATTGCTATTAAAAACCTAAATCACAATCAATTAATGCAATTTTTATCCGCTGTTTTGTGTGTGTTTTCTAAGACTAATAATAATTATTAAATTATTGTTTTTGGAATTCAGTATTAAGTACTGACTGAGCAATCGCTTAAAAAATATTTTAGTAATTTTGTTAACGATTTTTAGTTTTTAATTTTTAAAATCAATTAGAAAAATGCTATTCTATTCCTAATACTACCTATAATTTGAAATTTCAATAATAATAATAATAATGAAAAAGAGAAGTAAAAACAAAAGGACAACAAAAAATCAATTTTTAATCGTCCATTTCTTGCAAATATTTTTCTCATCAATTTTTATCGACTCTTTTCCATTCAATTCATTCAATGACAACATATTTGGCTATTAATGAGTTTATGACTAGTTTTACAAAATAAGTCAAATCATATGAAATCAGTTCTAAATTCATGTAAATTTATATATAAATGATTTATTAAACAAAAGCTCAGATTTTATGAGAAATGAAGACAAATATGTTGTCATTGAATGGAATGAGTTGTCGTGTGTTTTAATGTTTTGGAAGTTTTGATTAATTTATATATATATTCAACATCATTTCCCAAATGTCTTCAACCGAATCCATCTCTAATATAGAAGAGGCGGAAATGGCTGTCAGGAGAGCGCAGGAGACGCTCGAGAAGTTCAAGAAAGCGTACGCTAACGGACAGAACAGGACAGACATTCCCGATTACCGATAGTGCTCTCAACACACACTCACGTCTATTATATACTTATAATCGTTAGTTATTTTGTATAAATCATTTCATATTATTTTCAATTCATCAGTCGTTTTACTTTTCGCATAGATTTCTAAGTCTTTCTTATTAATACTAATCCTTATTATTCTCTCATTTTAAATTGAAAAATGGTTTTAATTATATATTCTTATTAAAAAATATAATATTTGAAACAATCTCTATATTATTTATTTTAATTATTTAAAAAATTATTGAAAAATTAAATAAATTTGTTCACTAAAGCAATGCCTTCGCATTCAATCATATATTGTTTGCTTTCGACAATTGTTTTCACTTCAAATTTAGCCTAAAATTTAAATCATAAATAAATAAATTTGTAATAAAATTAATGATTCAAATGACAGCTTACGCCTGATATTAATTGTGCGAAATGTATAGCCGTTAGTGTGTGTTGAGTGAGTGGACCCGTCTTTATACTGGATTTGCCGCTCGAAAGCGCCATAAATATGATTAACTAATTGTTATAAAAATCAATTATTAATTATGTTTAATGTGTTTGAAAGCATTTAAGCCCAGAGTATGTGGTGTTTCAACGAACCTGATCCTGAAGGTAACGGTCAACAGTTGAGCCGTGACTCAGATCTTCTATTAAATCTTTGGCTGCGCTCTCACCGACCGCTTCCGTACTAATAGACTGTTTGCCTAAAGCGGATCCACAAACACGACATCCCGTCGACGATTCGGCGATGAGTCTGAATGCGTCCAAAATATTGTAATCAACATTAAAATTAGTTTTCATATTTGAGTCGAGACTCACATAATTCCAGATCCGTTGCCGAAAGCTTTGTCTCGACTTTCGTGAACTCTCTTGACATCGATAGGAACGCCTGGAAAGGCCTCTCGAAGCAGATTAATAGCTGAATCGGCCATTGAATGTGTCATCTATTGATTGCCAAACAATTCATATGAGAAACAATTAAAAGAAGTGATAAAAGTGTGTACTTTAATGGGCAGAACTCCGGCCACAAAACTATATCCACTAATTTTGGTTAATTGTCCCAATTCTGTCATTTGGATGGCTTTCAATCCAGAGACCGGTTCCACTGTAAACATCACTTCTCCGCCTCCTTTAGGATAATATCCGCGACGAATGACATCGCAATCAAAGGAAACGCCAAATCGCTCTAAAATAGGTTTCAATACCTTTTAATCCAAACAAAACATTCAAATATTTGTTAATTCAGTCCAAAATCAATACATTAATTGTGTAATCAATTTGTGGCGCCATTTCTGCATTGGTTCCGCCCTTCAGACGAAGATATGATGTTTCACTCGCGTAAAGAAGACACGGAAGCGATGTCTGAAACAAGAGAGTGACGCTTCTGTCATACAAACAGATGTATCAATTGGTCAGTAAGTGATGAATGGATTAATTAATTGATGAATTAATCAATGAATACCCGGCAGTTTTGGTGTCGCCAAAGAAGTGACCGGAAGTGAGTTGTTTCGGCACAAACTTGATATCAGTGGAGGAGAACTGATCGCCAATGAGTTGTCCGCAAGTCATGTCCCGAATCAGATGCAGACCAACCAAATGCTGAGCCTTTAGTCCCGGCTTTGATCGTCCGCTTCGGATGTTTGAGATATGGATCTGTTGTGACAACAATGCGCTCAAACTCATCGATATTCGTA